ACATCACTGTGATTAAGTGTCTCTTTTGTTGGATTATTCTTAGCTTGTTCCAGGTGCAGAATCTCAACCGCCAGTTCCTGGATCCTCACCAGGAGAAGATGACAGATCAAAGTCAGCGCCAACTTCCCCATGTGATCAAGGTTCATCAACATATATTTTCTCCTAAGAAATAAACTGCACTTACCTTAACATTTTGACTAACCTATGTCATTTAAAAATGTGGTTCCACCAGTTCTAATTTAACAGAACATTCGACTTCTAAACAATATCATAATTTGAATCAGTTAGCCTTCAGATAGTCACTCATGCCCTTGTCACTTCATAGTGTGGCTGTTGCAGTGCAGAATACATGGGGTGTTCTTGAAGACCCCCCCACCCTCCACTGAAAGCTTCAATTGGTCCAGAACATAGTGGTGCAAGCAGTGATTGCCTTGTCTCAGCACACTGATCTCTTCTTCTTGAGCTATATGATTCCCATTGTGCTGCCGGGTGTAATTCAAGGTCCTGGTTATCACCTGTGAAGCCCTACCTGGTATAGTGTCTAGCTATTTTCAGGACTATTTGTCTTCTGTGATTTCTGCCTGTCCACTATGATCTGGCAGAGTGGGCATATTTCAGATCCCCTCAATTAAACCGAGTCATTTTTGGGGGGATCCAAGAAGCATACTTTTCTTGTAGCAGCGTCTGGAATGATGTAAGTGTTGTATAGCTCCCATGCTGATGAGATTCCCCAAAGCCTTAAAATCTTGTCTGGACCCAACACTGTAACTGTTTTTTAAAACACCCCAATAATTAAAGCATCAATTATTGGGATCTAATAATTAATAATCCCAAACAGGAAAAAGCCATGGTTGGCAATGTCTTTTGTGTGTCCACAATGAGTGGGGTCAAGAGACAAATAGTTGTCACACAACGAATTCTTCTTTTTTATGAGGCGTTTAGAGTTTATTTGCAATTAAATTTCAAAATGGCAGAAAATTACACCACCAGTTGTCAACAATAATAGTCAGAAGACATTTTAGAGGTACAGGTAGCCCTGGAGTCTCAGTTTATCACTGCTGCCTTAAAATGACAAAACAACCTAATTCTATGTCACAATGCTCCAGTGTGCTATGTCAGGGAACCCTTTAAGGCAGTGGTTCCCAAACTTNGTTTGGTGAACCAGCAGTGACCCAAACCTGCCATGCCCCCAAGCCAGTTCTCTTTTTTTTTGGTTCTGCGCATGCGCAGAACAATTTTAATTGCACTGCGCATGTGTGCGTGATGCACACATGAGTGAACTGAAAGTAGTGTCTGTGGGAACTCACCCCTGATCACTTAATGAAGGCAAAGGGTGTATCCAAGAATTTACTATTTTCTCTAACATAATACTTGAGTCTGAATCAGTGGTGGGATACGACCGATACGCCCCGGTATGGGCATACCGGTGCCTGCTTGGAGCACCAGGTACCATTCTGGTATGGTATTCCCGAGGCCCACCCGGCCTTCTGCTCTCCTTACTGCTATTTGAGCCAATCGGGGCATTTGCGCATGCACACAGAGTGTACGGCACCTGCGCAATGCTCCACCGAGCAGCTGGAGCAAATTATGCTCAATTTACATCAGTTGTAACTAGTGAAAAAGAACAGACAGGAGAGTGGTGGGCACCCGGCTCCATTGCACTGTACCAGTTGCAACGGGATTCAGAACCCATCATTGGTCTGAATACACAACCATATATTTGCTATGCACATTTAATCTACTCTCCTGTCTGTTCTTTTTCACTAGTTGCAACTGATGTAAAATAAGCATAATTCGCACTCTTACTTTGGAGGTAAGAGATCATCTGATGTGAACTAGCACACTTGCTAAAAACTCATTCTATCTGCAAGATCTCTCTCAAATTTTATTAGGAATAACACAGGAGAAATAGAGAGATGGAAATGAAATAATGAATGCATGGTAAACATAGAACTTAAATCTAAATATCCCAAATTTGATTCTTTTCATTTTGCTGTCTTTCCTTTGGAATATAAATCCAAAGAACAAAAGGTTATATTCCAAAGCTTTAAAAAATTCTGATTATTAAATGCTGACATTAATGTTTTTTTTTGGGGGGGGGGCGGACGATGGGAAGGGAGCCAACATTAGATATTTAACAGCATAGTTTTACCACAGATCTTTGCACAAATTTAATATTTCTATAGATTCATGAACCTGTTTTGTTTTATTATGGCATTAGTATGTATGCATACATTTCACCACAGAATCAGGCATGAAAATGTGAATTATACGCATTCTTTTAAAATGCACATTTTTGTAAGGATTTTTGTTTGCATTGGAAAATTAAAAAGTGAAAGCAATAAATAACTTTCCTTTGAAAACCTGTACCAAATATCTCTGCCAGCATTAGATTTATGTTAGAGTACAGAGAAATGCTGTACACTTCAACTTTCCAAAGTAAAACCACATTTTTAGTGGTCAGCATTCTCTATTTTGCCATCTCATTTTCATAATGGGTGTTCTTTATCTTGCAGTTTAAACTTTAGCACATGTGAGGGGAAAAAGCTTAGTACTTTGAATATTCCCTTTACTTATTCATTTCTAACTGCAAACAGAACAGAAAGTATCTAAAATATTTCAAAGAGAAAGACCAGGGGAAATAAGGATGGCCAGCCACTACTGTCATTTTTCATACTGGCCTTTTCAAATCTTTCTACTTTTCCTCAGTAATTTGCATGTTTTAAGAAAATGCAATATTGGGCTGTATTCAGAGTAAGCTTGGTCTCTTTTTCTCAGTGAAAACCCAGATAAAACAGAGATCAATCATGTGAGTATTTTTATTTCTGAATAATTCAAGGGGCATTCTGAAAGGATGCTGTTTTGAAAGCACAAGGACCTTCTTCTTTGGGTAAATGAGCAAATAGAAATCTCAGCTTTGCAATAAATATTCTTTCATTGTGTGGCATCACTCCAGACATAATGATAACAAAACAGGAAAGGATAGGATTGTAAGATGGACCTAATGGTATTCAAATTATATTTTCTCCACCAGATTTTTTAGCAATCTCTGCATCAGTTTGGCACAGAGGAATTTTCTCCCGCAAATTTCCTTACCTTTTTGTTTCATTTCTGCAAAATCTGCATATGCTATTTTAATTTCCTCCACAAGAAAGCACAAGTGTAATCCAGCACTGCTATGATGACAATAAATCCCCCCCCCCAAAAAAAAGAGGTTGGATATTAAACAATCTCTCGCCAATTATTTGATGCTTCCACATGTACATTTGAAATCAATATATTTATGTGAAGCATATATATTATTCCTTTTTAGTCTTAATTTGGGTCTGCATTTACAAGGATCAAGGGTTGATTGCAGTTTCTTCTGCAAACAGGCAGGATGATGTGGGAAATTCTTGTGAATTATGACCATGGTAACTGATATAACTGGATGTAATTGGAAAAATTGCTGCCAGTTAGCCCTATTTATTGGAGCTGTCAGTTATTTTCCACTAAGGGAGTAAAAGCTTTGTGGTTAGAAGGTAAAGAGAACAAGTGGATATCTACAGAGGAAACACAGAGATAATGTAAGGGAAATTAAACTGAGCCAAATAAAGAAATGAAGGAAAAAAACATAGATTCAGAAAGCTGTTGTGGTGCAGAAATAGCAAAAAGAATACTGTGGGGTGATTAGGGAATGAGAGGGTTATGTGCAAAGGGAGACCACTGGGAAGCAGGAAATGGGGTTCAGAAGTAGCTGTGGTATAGAGATGGAGGGAAAATAAAGTAAGAGGAACTTGAAAGAAGAGACTTCAGTGAGATCTTGGAGGAGTGACTGAGATATGATGATCAAAGAGGTAACATTAAATGAAAACACGCTGTGCCCAAAAGAGGATAAAATGAAATCCCAGAGAAAGGGAGAGCCAAATAGATAAGTAAAAGCTTCTGGGAATGAAGGTAGAGAATCAGGAATATGTACCAAAGGTTTTTTTTTTTAAAAAAAAAAAATTGAACTAAAATGGCAACAAAAATACTGTTCCTGTTTAACACAACACTGTGAGCTCCTTGAGTTGTTAAAATGTCAAAGTGCTTGTATTGATTTTAGCTATATATAATTCACTCTAAAATCTTACAAAGAAGATTGCTTGTTTTTGCTTTCTTCTTTTCCTTGTTCATTGCATTTGTCTCCCACATTTCCTTCAGGAGCCCATGCGTTTCCCTCCTCACAAAAGTCCTATGGGCTAAGTTGTACTGAAGAGTAATCATCAGTCCGGAGTCAGCTTATGAATTTCATGACTGACAATGCAATCTGGGTCTTCATGATCTTCCTTATTTTTGTACCACAATGGACGTGTTGATTTTATTTTCCACAAAGACTGCTATGGAATCTTTGTAGCCAAACATTTGAAGGAGAGACAAGGAACAAGTCCCTACAGTGTATTTATTTGATTGCTGTTGTACATAAGATTGCAGTTAGAATTTGGGTAGATTAAAGAACTTTTTCTATCAGCATCAATGCTTATTTTCTGCCCCCCCCCCCAACTCCATTTTCTGGTTTTTCTAAGCAACCATAATGTCATGCAAGATCAAAAATTTCCCAAGTTTCTTTTCCATTTTTGTGAGTTGGGAAAAGTTGTTTTGTAAGGAAGTAAATTATTGAGCTTATTTTCTTTATTTGGGGGTTTGCAAATGGCTCCAAAATTGTACTGATGAATTGGACTGGGATCTCACCCAAATCCCACCCAATAATCTGGAGTAATCTCTATGAGTGAGGAGAGTATTGTTCACCCCTGAGTTACTCTTTAGTTCGATTCTGCAAGCCAGTTCTTTATAGAATAAAACTTATCTGAACTGTTACCAATCTGTTTAGCGTATTAAATCAGATTCTTGCTACAGGGACTGTAAAAGGGATTTTATGAATAATACGGATAAATAATAGATAGTAATATGTCAGGACAGCTTAATCTTATTTAACCTGGATCTTTCTTGCCCCCCTCCCTTCTGTTTGGTTTACATTACAGTTTGCAAGATGAATGTACATAGACGCTGTGAAACAAATGTAGCACCCAACTGTGGAGTAGATGCTAGAGGCATAGCTAAAGTACTTGCAGATCTTGGCGTTACTCCAGATAAGATCACAAATAGCGGACAAAGGAGGAAGAAGGTAACCAAGGAAACAGTTTAAAATATGAACTAATAATGGTTCTGCACTGTGAAGCATGGGAGACATCTTGTGTCCTTTTATTTTAGTTTGGATTTAAGAGCATAACTATATGTTCTGGTTCCTTTAAGGATCCTCAAGGAATGTGTTTGTCACTTCCTAAACAAAATGACCTGATGATGGCCCTCACAAACCAATGGGCAGATTGCACTTCAGCTATCTATCAGACTTCACAACAACAAATTACTGAAAAGACTTCCTCCTCTTTCCAAATTGCTTCTTTAGCAATTTAAATACATTAAAATATGCATTTAGAAGACATTTATGGAGAGGAATGTGCAAATTAATGTAAAAAGCACGACGGTACAATGATTCTGTGTTGTCTGGATAAAATGTGCAAAACTAGCAATGACCTGGAAATATTTCACCCATCCCAAATATTTATTCTGGTACTGAAAATGTTGGCTTACTCCCTTCCTGTACAAAATAGCAGCCAATAAAGTGGAATGGTAGATCATGCTGTTGTAAGTCAAGATAAGTATTTAAAATAACCTTCCTTAACTTGGTGATGCCTAAATTACAGAGCTATAATCTGTCTATAATGTATCTAGACAATAAAAAGTTGGACAAGAGTGTTTTTAATCATTGCTGAGTTCCTAATTTGCAGATGACTTTTGCTACAGCGAAACCTGCCTAACTTATAACATGTACTACCATGTTTCCTCGAAAATACAACATGTCCTGATAATAAGGCCATGCCACATTTTTATGGTGGGCAAAATTATAAGCCCTCCCCCACAAATAATCCCCCTGGACAACCCCCCACCTCCAGCCAGACAGAACACTGCTCACCAACCTAGTGGTATCCCAAAGGTGCCAAGCCACGGGAACCAGGAGGGAGGCAAAGGTGATTGCATTGCTTGGTGCCTTTGGGATACTGCTAGGTTGGTGAGCAGCGCTGTGCCCAGCTGAAGAGGGGGGGTTGCTGGGCAACTGCTCTCTTGAGAGCAGGCTCCCAAAGAGCTGGGAACAGCCTCATTGGTGAATGGCTGTGTTGCACTGTCACAGCAGCACAACTCAACAGCCATGAAATGATCATGCTCATGAGCAGCCACCCGGCAAACTCCCTTTCCAGCTGGGCACAGTGCCATTCACTGACCTAGGGGTATCACCAAACCATGTGAGCGCCTGTTTGCCGCAGCCCAGCTCCCGTGGCTTAGTGCCTTTGAAATGCCAGTGAAAGGTGCTCTGCATGGCTGGAGAGGGAGGTTGCACGAGTGGCTGTTCCGCTCCCGCTCGTGTGCCTCCCAGCCTCACGATGCCCTGGCCCAGCTCTCCCCACAGAGACAGAGTACCTCCGCTGCCACCACCGCCGCATCGCTTTTTCAGCGGCTTCCAAACCAAGTCTTCTAGCAGTGGCTGCTCTGGACATACGCTCTATGGTTGTGGGCCAGCTGCCGGCCAAGCATACAACCATAGAGCGTAT